TTTAGCAGCGGCTGCTACGGGGGTTGAAGCTTCGAAGCTTCACACTACCGCAGCTGCTACGAGTAGCACCACAACACACGAACCCTAAACCCTAAACCCTAAACCCTAAACCCTAGACCTGCCTGGTAACGTTTGAGCTGTACGTACAGCAGAATGACTGCTCTTCTCCTCTGCTTCTCTTGGCAGTGGCGTAGACATAATAAGGCATCAAAGGCTCCGCCGCTGTCCTGCAGCATGCATCTCAACCCTAAACCCTAAACCCTAAACCCTAAACCCTAAACCCTCATGTCCCTCAAAGCGGCGTCAGGCCGTCCTGCTGAGTTTGGCTGAGAAGACGAACGCCTAAGAGGTTAAAGAAAGGGTTTAGGGTTTAGGGTTTAGGGGTTGACGCACAGCAATTGCAGCAGCAAGCTCTGACTCGGAGTCGTAGGGAGCCTCAGCAAGCAGCAGCAGCAGCGCCGTCCCTAGGCCTGCTGGCGAAGCCCAGCTGCAAGTGCTGTTGCTGCTGCTGCTGCTGCTGCTGCTGCTGATAGCTGCAACTCCGTTTGCATGCAGGGGGCCCTCTCTGCCGAAGGAAAAAGGCATCCCTGTACAGCCCCGCAACGCACAGTCCTGTGAACGATGAAACCCTAAACCCTAAACCCTAAACCCTAAACCCTAAACCCTAAACCCCAGACCGCACCGGGTTTGTTTCCATGTATAGCCGTAAAATGCTTCAAGAGTTGCACCGCAGCCTTCCAACATGCGTAGCTTCTGCTGCTGCTGGTGCTGTTGTTGTTGCTGCTGCTGCTGTTGTTGCTGCTGCTGTTGTTGTTGCTGCTGCTAACTTGCTGCTGCTTGTCCCGCTGCAGCAGAATGATAGGCAGCATTAGTGCGGGCAGCAGCAGCCAAGGTTGCAGGGCCCCCAACTCTGGCTTTCGTGCTGCAGCAGCAAACTGCTGCGGGTGATGCAGCAGCAGCAGCGGTGCATAAGATACAAACAAATTGCAGCGAACCTCCGAGTTCTGGATAGACAGAATTGCGTCTGTACACCCGAAAACCCAAAACCCTAAACCCTAAACCCTAAACCCTAAACCCTAAACCCTAAACCCTTGGCGTGGGCATTTCACTTGGAAAGAGAAGGCGCAGATATGTAACAGAGAGAGTAGATACAGCTTGCAGCCGGAGTTTAGGGTTTCGGGAGCGAGGGTTTAGGGTTTGCATAGGGCCTAGGGTTTAGGGTTTAGGGTTTGGAGCTTACGGCGGGCGAGAAGCAACTCCCATGCATTAGCATCTTCGTGCTGCAGCAAGAGATTGGCTGCAAACTCTGTTGTCAGCAGCAGCAAACCTTTGCTGCTGCTGCTGCTGCTGCTGCTGCTGCTGCAGGTGCTGCTGCTGTCCTGAATAAGCTGCAGCCCCTTTCCATACAGGTGTTGGGGGAGTGCGAGAAACATGTTCTGAGCAACATACAAACCCTAAACCCTAAACCCCAAACCCTAAACCCTAAACCCTAACCTACAGACCCAGATTGATGGGCGTTCCCGGTGGGGGCTGGACGACGGGGTTTAGGGTTTAGGGTTTAGGGTTTGAGTTTACTGCCTCGGCCTAACTAGGGCCTCTAGGCCTTGCCTAGGGTTTAGGGATTAGGGTTTAGGGTTTAGGGTTTACAAATTGCCTAGAGATCCTCGAATATGCAATCATGCAGTGTTCATAAAGAAATAAGAAGTGGTGAGCAGTAACAGCAAAGCTAAGCGGGGAGGGGGGCTGCTGCGGGTTTAATGCATCTGCTGGTGCTGCTGCTGCTGCTGCAGCAGCTGCTGCTGCTGCTGCTGTGTTCCCTCGACTTGCTGCAGCAACCAGAGCCGACGAAGGCAGCAACACCACTTCAGGAGGAAACGACAACAGGTTGCCGCTGCTGCTGCCTGCTGCTGCTGCTGCTGCTGCTGCTGTTGCTGGCAGCCGCAGCTCGCCGTTCAGCAGACCCACTCTGCAACCCACGCAAACCCTAAACCCTAAACCCTAATCCCTAAACCCTAAACCCTACGCCCTAACCCTTAAACCCTAAACCCTGAATTTCTAGCTTCAAAAAGGTAGAAGAGTGAAGGGTCGCTCATAGACTGCACGCTGCATATCGATCCAATTAGGGTTTAGGGTTTAGGGTTTAGGGTTTACGGCGAAAGCCAGTGGACGCTGAACAGCGCAGTGCTGGGGTCTGTGCTGGTGCGGCTGTCTACTGCGAGAAAGCTGGGGGTTGCAGCAGCAACACTCCCAACCCCAAAGAAGCAAAGCAGCTCCGTCTCTGTACAAACTAAAACACGCTGCTGCTGCTGCTGCTGTGTTCCCTCGACTTGCTGCAGCAACCAGAGCCGACGAAGGCAGCAACACCACTTCAGGAGGAAACGACAACAGGTTGCCGCTGCTGCTGCCTGCTGCTGCTGCTGCTGCTGCTGCTGTTGCTGGCAGCCGCAGCTCGCCGTTCAGCAGACCCACTCTGCAACCCACGCAAACCCTAAACCCTAAA